TTGAGAATGTATGGTGTCCTATCATTGACATCCACGACGTGAGAGACTCCGTCCGTAATCTCTGACTGTTCTAATAACTTGGCCTTACTGATCTGCCGAAGAGAAGGGAATTCACGGCATGAAGGATAGATAACCCTTGGAAGATCCTCTCGGATCGTGTATCTGTCTCCCAGAGAATTATGCAAAGGGCCCAAGAGCGAGCTCTTCAGTATTATGTATTTTCAACATGGAGTCACGTTCATCGGTGTACTCTTCTAAGACCACTTCACTGACCGTGTCGTTAAGAAGAGGAGAGACCTGAGGTCTATCAGCCTGATAAAGTCCTGATACTCTTTGCGTCTCTGCCGCTTTGGGGTCTTATTTGACACCGGTCTGTCCACAGAGCTCAGAATCCCCCCTTTGAAAGTCACCTTGATCTACCACTTATGGCCTTCCGAGTGGAATATTAAGATTTGCGAACGACTATTAAGCTCCGCCTGGCCTTGCACGAGATAATCCCCATTTTCAAGATAAGACTTGAAATCGATCGAACATTTAGACTCGTGGAAAGAATCAGAGAGCATCTGGGCCCATAGATCGGCTGATCGTGATGGATGGACTCTACAGGGGACGTTGTGGATGATAATGATGTGTCTTATGTTCAGCAACCCCCTGAGCACACATCGTACACGTGACTCTATATGTATCTATGTAGTCACGTGCATTGTGAAGGTATGCTGACTCAACTTTGCATAGAGTTGCATGAATAGTGCCTTCTCCTAACCAGTAACATGGATTAAGTGGCAGGCAGGCATTTATGTCGTGTTTGGTCATCTCGTCTGGTAGCATGGTAAGCTACCCTAGGTCTAAGTAGGTACAAAGCCATAAACATACACTTGTGTCATGGTAAGTCAGCTCCTTTTCGGGTATCAATGAGAAGGACATGGATAGACTTGTCGGTCAGTCGCAAGTTCAACAGCCAAGGGGCCGTTTAAATGCGACGACATCATCAAGGAGCTGACTCTGCACGGCTACGCAGGATGGAGTACTTATATACTCCCGTCTATAGCGACGCAGATCATCTTTCTCTTCTTCATGGATGGACGGGCTAAAGGATCGACCTGGCGCAATCAGATAAGATCGGTGAACCTCGTGGAATCATAATTATTTCAACTAGTCACCCGACTAACACCCACGATCGGACATCCTGTGGGAACTCTATACTCGCGCGGTAGGTAGCTGCTAATCCAGGGGTTCGTCGACGCAAGCGCTGCATTAGCTGGTGATGATCTGCCTGATCGAGTGGCTTGGCTCGGTAGCGCTGTTTATAGCGCCAATCTGTATAGCACGGAGTATATCACAGAGGGTAAGGCTTGAATCATCGTACTTCATTTATGCAACATTAACTATTTCTCATAGACCGACCCCCCTTCCCACCCTTAATTAATATACGACACTACCCACCCACTCTCATGACTCGAATCTCGCTACCGCCCCCCATTAACCTGCACAAATTCTTCTGCACCCGAATGCCCTCAGCGGCACCTCGTCATCACCACAACTCTCACTCCTCATGTCCTGCCGGCTGCTCGCGCGACTAACCCGCACATCGGTCGTCATCTTCCCGCAGTCATACCCCGGTCGCAGATCTCCGGACTCGTGGCCCCCTCGCCCTGCGAGTCGTTTTCGTCCGGCAGATAGTAGAACGAGTGGCGGCGGGCGCCGCCCGTGCCGGTGCGGCTCCCGTCTTTCATCGACAGGTCGTGCGGCCGCGTCCCGCTCGACTGGCCCTTGGATAGGGCGTCGGTGCGACTGCGCAGCAGGGCGGGCATCGCGTGCTGGATGCCGAGTAGGCGTGCGCCGGCTTGGAGGGCGGGCCGCATTGTCGGCAGGCAGGCGGAGACGATGCCGGCGGACATTTCGATCGCTGTCCAGGCGACTGTTGGGGCGAGCGTGTAGGAGGAGTCGAGGGTGTGTAGGAGAAGAGGACGGTGAGGCGGTAGGCGGAGGCGAAGACCACGCTGCAATTTGTTATCAGTATATCTTATCTTTATTTTATTGTAAGATGATGGGAAAAGGACGTACAAGAAACCGAGACCAAATGCAATGGTCAAGCCCACTTTTTTCAGACGTCCGCAGCTGCAGTTTCCAGATCTGAGGCATCGGCAGGAACAGGATGACAGGTCGGTGGCGATGGTCGAGGTCGCGTTGGCGATCCACGTAGCGACCTGGTTGATGCAGTGGCCGGGCAGCTGCGGGTACCAGAGTTTCTCGACGGGGACACAGATGAAGACGAAGAGGAAGGTGATGGTGATGACCCAGCAGATGATGAAGGTGCCGATGCCGTAGGCCCACGCTTGAAGTAGGGGGAAGTGGAAGATGCGGTAGTACATGAAGAGGATGCTGATCTTGGTCCAGACGAGGTTGAAGACGTAGAGGATCTCCGCGACGACGAGGAACTTGGCGATGAGGACGATGTTCTCGGGGTCGACTGTGTCGGCGTGCAGGCCCATGCCGTTGTGGATCATGGCGAAGATGAAACCTACGACGACGAAGTTCCAGGCCTGTCGTTCTTCTTCTTAGTGATGCTCTGGTTGATGGGGGAAGAAGGGTTGGATGAACGCACCATCGACCAGAGAATGATCCAGTCATCCCACCATAGCTTTTGCTTTCGCTCCCATCGCGAGAGCAGCCGCAGACATACAGACACAAAGGCCAGCACCGTCACCGCGATGGTGGTGGCTGCTGCCCAGCGTTGGAGGCTGTCGTCATTGCCCATTGCATTTCATACTCTCATATCACGTCGCCTAACAGGAGTTTTGGAAACAAACCACGCGGGGCAGTAGGATTTATAAATTAGAAAAAGAAAAACAGACAGAAATGATTTTTCTTGAAAAAAAAAATAGATTAAAACAACCAGCCAATATAGTAGGTAATATATAAAGGAAACTCCACCATCGTGACAAGAGTCAGGGGGCCCAAAGGTCCAAAATGGTCAGTCCAGATTTTTTACGACCGTTGAACCTTCTCTTAGTCTCGCGTCGATTCCGCATCTCCTCCTCTCCCTCCCCCACCCTCATCTGCCGCAATGCCGAGTTACATGCGAACGGTTACGATGAGGCCAATCATGGAAGCCCGTTGGATCCGCCAACTTGCCATGTGTTGGCGGAAAAAATGGCCCAAATCCCGCCTGTCTGTTTCCACTATCCGAATTCCGTTGGTAGGAGGAGACGATCTGCATGTTTTCCTTCAGGAAATGATATGAACCGGGGGGAGGACGAACCATGGAATGAGTGGCTGCAAATCCATCCGAAAGAGCCTAGGGAGAGGAACTAAATCGCGTGGTCGAAGTCTATGACCCACTATCCCCTCAACCACGCCGTCATTTGGGTGGCTTGCCAACCAAAGTATTTATTGCTGTCTAATTTTAACGAGATGAATAATATCTCTCCCGTCAATGGACCATGGATTGCACGCAACATGATAGATATTAATAGGTATGTATGTAAGTAGTAGTATATACAGATTAGGCATATTTCCGGACCATCTCCAAGACAGCCTGGTTTACTTCAGCCGGGTTGGTCGCGTTCAGATAATGGGCTCCTCCCTCGACCATCCGCAGTGACGCCTCCACCGACCCGCTCAGCAACCGAATCTGCTCCACCGGCACCGTTGTGCCAAACGGCGTGTCCTCACTGCCTGCAGCCAGTATACGGGGCACTTGACGTCGCGCAGGCGCATCAGCAGCCCGTCGCGCTCCAGCAGGCAGTTCACTGCCATGCGCACCTTCTTGCGGCCCTCATCTCCGCGGTACACCTCCTTCAACGTCTTGGTCCAGAACTCGCCCGTCTCGGCGGGAGAGTTGGCGCCGAATCCGATGCCGCTCACCATGCCGCACCACACGTCGTCGATGAGGAAGTCGGGCGTCGCGTCGCCGACGACCACTTGTCGTGGAAGGGCGCCAGCAGCGGCGCGGGGTCCCAGCATCCCTTGCTGCGGGAGTCGGGCGACTCGCTGTCCATGGACGTACCCAGGGGAATGACACCTTGGATCTGGAAGAGGTCAGTATCAAGGTATCGGGAGAGACAGAAGAGAGAAATACCCGCTCGGGCGCCAACAGGGCCATCCGCATCACAACCCAGCCGCCTTGGCTGGTTCCTAGCGTAAACGCTTCTTGATGTTCAGTGCGTCGAGGACTTGCAGCGCCATGATGGCCGAGTCCCAGTAGGTGAAGTGCTCCGTGGCGCAGCTAGTAGCGCCGTGTCCCAGCGGCTCGATGGCCAGCAGGTTGACGGCGGCGGTGAGCTCGGCGCTCTCGAATTGCGGGCGGTAGAGCGCGGTGGTCATGCACATGGAGTTGATGAGCACGCAGGTCGGCTTGGAGGGGTCATATTGGCGTTGGAGAGAGTGTAGCCGGCGTCGATGCCGCCCAGATGGGGGACGCGGATAGTTTGAGTGGCTGCCATGTTGCTTGATGTAGTAATAAATCTTCTGCAAGGACACTAGAGGATAGTTGATACTCCTGGATTATGGCAGTCGGGCAGACGTCGTTTTTGTATGTCCTCCTAATCGTGATGACAGTCGTCCTTTTTGGCAGCTCCGAAGATGGAGTAAACTAACGGTCGGGGGTTGATCCTTGTTCTGGTGCAGATCGTCGTTGAAAATGTTCGTTTGACAGGATTATTAACCTTTGCGACGTTTTTCTCAACGGTTCGGTAGGTCGGCTACCAACCATCTGCCTGCCCCTATCCTGATTTTTCCTAATTCGTCATAGAATGGTAGAAACTGGCCCACTCGGCACATCCATCTACTTCCTTGGTTGGAACGCAAACCCGGGCTCCAGGCTCAAACTCGCCTGCCTGTGTGGGACTGGCCGGCCATTTAAGATTTGACTTGCGTCTCATTTCGTGTCGGACGTACTCTCCGCAAGGTTGATTGAATTGGACTGACAGAGCTGACCGTTCTAAAGGGTTCTAGGGTTTTAAACGGTTCTGGAGTTGAATCTCGTAGATCGAGTCGCATGATCTTGAGTGTAAATCCCGTCCTTAGGCAGATTTCTGCAACTGTAAAAGAAACCCTCTGTGGCGGACAATCACCTAGTAGGATGCAGGAATTGGCTGACTGATGTGTTGCATGAGAATCCAAGCTTGAATTCCTCTCCTAACGATGATCCCATGTGGAAACCGTGTCTGATATCAGCTCGGGGCTGGAAGCTGAGATAAGGTCTTCAAGTTGGACTTGATTTAAACGGCTTCACTTTGTTGATTTTTTTCGTAGAATGATGTCAGGCTTGGTACCTCTCATGGTCTTTGTGATCCCTTGGTCTTCAAGGCATGCAACCAGTCATGATATCTAGAGTGAGAGCGGGGTCCTGGTGGATCTCAATTTCATCGACACAACTGATGGCAAAATAGGAGAAAATGAACTGAAGAAGACATTCCTGCCTGAGGAACATGGCAGAGACTGGGATGTCACCTGATCTTTATCTTTCATCTTTCTAATCTCTTCATTCTCTTCACTTTCCTCTGTCTTGTCAATTTCCTCACTTTCCTCGTCTACTCAGTACATAATATATCTATATTAGGTTCGTCGACCTGTCTCGCCGTTGAGAAAAGTGGGTTCAGAGTCACACCGCCAATCACATTTGCCGAACCAGGCCAGCCCATATTATGTGTCATTGATTTGATTCCTCAAATGTGGGTCTTTCCATGCGTTGTGAAGTCCACCGTACTGTGGAGTACATGGATATTGGAAATTGCACTGCTGAGCTGACTGTTATCTTGCCGCTGGATTGTCAACGAGCCGACTGCGTTGTCGAATCATACACCTCTCAATTGTTATTCAAGCCCCCAAAGCAAACGGGAAGACCGAGGATCCGGTTCCTCTGCATACAGTGTGACGTGTGTGTATCCAATGCGGGTTGGTTGTACAATGATTGGGGTGGTATATGAGGCTCAACTCGATGTACTCCAAGATATAGCTCATGAGGTGGGCCATCTCTTTCAGCTTTGGTAGATGGTCTTTCTTATTGGATATCCTGTACTGAGTTCAAGTGATAAGCATGTTTGCTGGTTGATAATGGGACTGATCGAAATGTGTATTGGGTTCTGTATTGGAATTTACGTGCAGGAAGAATGATAACAAGAATGTCAGATTCAACATGAGATCAGATTTTACCCTGTTAATTGAACAAACACACTCAAGGTATCTACTATGACATGGATCCATTCCATGCCTCAGTTGAGCCTCTTTTGTCTGTTCACGAGCAAGACACGTTCACTGCATCCGGATAGACCGACGTTGTGTTACCATTGAAGTAGGCGCATCTCGTAGGAATGACAAAGAAAGAGGCCATGCCTGCATCACGCTGCCAATGCAGCTGCCAGCAACGTGACCAGCACTTCTTCCACTACTTCTCCCATCGTTGATATTCTTCTTCTCCACTGCTCACCCACCAGACATAATGTTCTCTCTCGCCTCCCTCATCAGCCTCGCCGCCCTCCTCGATCTCCTCTACGGCCTCTACACCACCTTCAAACATGCTCGCAATTTCGTCCGCTGGCGCTGTGGCTCTCTCCCGGCCTATCCTAGCGACTTCCTGGGCTGGAACACTCTCAAAGAACTCCAAGCAGCAGACAAAGCACGCAGGCTGCCCGTTCTGTTCGTTGACCGCTTCTCTCTCATGGAGACTCGCGAGAACCGTCGCGTCAATACCTACCTCACCCGCCAGGCCCTACGCGATGTCATCATCACCTGCGACCCAAAGAACGTACAGGCAATGCTAGCCACCCAATTTCAGGATTTCGAGCTGGGAAGCGCGCGCCGCATCTCCCTCCACCCTCTCCTCGGGAATGGAATCGTACGCCCTCCCTGGTATACACCATAAAATAATAACTAACTTACATCAAGTTCACCACTGACGGCGAACACTGGTCTCGCTCGCGCGCTCTCCTCCGCCCCAATTCACCCGCGATCAAATCAGCGATCTGAACCTAGAAGAGCGCCATGTGCAACACGCCTTCCGCGCCATGCCCGTCGACCCCACCACTGGCTGGACATCCGCCGTCGACATCCAAACCCTCTTCTTCCGACTGACCATGGACTCAGCCACCGAGTTCCTCTTCGGCGAGAGTGTCAACAGCCAATCCGCCGCGCTGGACACCAACCAGCCAGACTCCTTCTCCGCCAACTTCGACCGCGGCCAGCAATTCGCGGGCCAGCGCGCGCGCCTCGACAAGCTCCACTGGCTCGCCAACACAAAGGAAAGCCGACACGTCACTGCAGAAGTCCACGCCTACGTCGACCAGTTGTCCGCGCCGCACTGGACCAGCAACAGTCCCGCAAACCAGACATCTCCAGTCCAGCGCCCACCAAACAGCACGGCGTATTCCTCCAGCAACTAGCAGCCGCAACCCAAGACCCCATCGAGCTCCGCTCCCAACTCCTCAACGTTCTCCTCGCAGGCCGAGACACAACCGCCTCGCTCCTCAGCTGGAGCCTCCTCCTCCTAGCCCGCCACAGCGACGTCTTCACCAAACTCCGCACCGCCATCCTCGCGGCCTTTGGCCCGGACGGCCCAAAAACCACCCCGATAAGCTTCATTGCCCCATAACCTTCACCTCCCTCAAAGACTGCCGCTACCTGCAAGCCTTCCTCAACGAAGTCCTCCGCCTTTACCCAATCGTCCCTAACAACCGCCGCACAGCCGTCCGCGACACCACTCTCCCGCGCGGCGGCGGGCCAGACGGCTCCCGCCCTGTCTACATCCGCGCCGGCCAGCAAGTCCTGTACAGCGTGTTTGCGATGCACCGTCGTGTGGACCTGTGGGGTGAGGATGCGAACGAATTCCGCCCTGAGCGTTGGATGGAACACTCCCCGGTCACCGGGTAGGTTGGGAGTATCTGCCGTTCAATGGGGGCCCGCGCATCTGCATCGGGCAGCAGTTTGCGCTCACGGAGGCGGGGTACGTGCTTGTGAGGCTGTTGCAGCGGTTTGGGGCGGTTGAGGATGTGTTTTCGGAGAGGGAAATTAGCTATGCGTTGAATTTGACGATCGCGCCGGGGGAGAATGTTACTGTGCGGATGAAGGCTGCTTAGGTTTACTGTTGATTGCGTTCTTACTGTTGACCAGACTCATACAACAAACTTAACTTGTCTTCAAAGGACGGCAAGTAGATGTACGTAGCAGACTTACGTAGTGTACTGATCAGGTGCTTGTAGTATGCATAGATGATCTACATAGGGTGGAGAGTAGTAGTGTCATGCGGATGTCGATCACACATATAGCGCCACATATAGCCACTGACGTCGATGGCATGTACCCCAATAATACCCTTCTTGCTCCCTAGATAGATTCATACGAATCCACCAAGTAGATACCATGATATTGCGAAATGACAGAAAAATAGACAGCATATATCATATAGTCGTACGTAGTTTACTCGTAAATCAACAAAAGCAACCCATAAACCATCCCCTAACTATTAATATCTCCTACTCACCAACCTACTACCTCTCTACCTAGGTGGGTAGATAACTCGCAGTACTGCAGAGTAAGTAGGCAGATCAAAGACTGGAACTAGCAGCAAATCTCACAGCACTCGAAACAGGCCAGGCCGGCGCAGCTAGTTATCATTAATTAGTATCTCACCCATTCTCTTTCAAGGGGTGGGTAAGAGACACCACAGTAATGGGGAGAGTAGACGAGAAAATCAAGGAGAAAGAGAGAAACTCACAGCCCACAGCAGATGCCACCGGCGCCACCCCACGGAGACTCAAGTTCATCTGTTCGGTGGAGCGCTGTATTTATTAGTATCTTCCATCCATATATCACACTTTCCTTGTTCTAGTATCCGTAACACACACACACACACACACACACACATATATATATAATATATAATGTATGCAATATACTAGCCCCATATAATAATACCAAAACAGGCAGAAGAATAAGAAATAATAACCAACCGGCTGCTCCACCACCAAACCCTCCTTCACGGGAGCACTGGGGCTCGTCGGCTGCTGCTGCACGGTCACGGTGCGGGGATCCCACAGCGGTTCTTGGTATTGGGGTTGATTTTTTCGTCTTTGGGTTTGGAGAAGAGGTTGAACATTTTAGAAGTGAATTGGGGGGATATTGGGAGATGGGGTTGGATGTGTGGATTGTGGATCGTGGTTATGGGGATTGGAGGAGAGAGTTG